GAGAAAGGTTTTCTGAAAGAGAAAACAAAAGAAACAGAATCAGGAAAGTCCTGGGAATGTTCTAGGAGCTTTTAGGTAAGGCATCATGGCAGGTAGACATAAGCTCAAATTCTGCCTCCAAAATTTGGTAACAGTGATTATGACCAATTCATTTAGCCTCTTTGAGTTTTAATTTCTTCATCTATAAGATGAATAGGCTCAACTAGGTTGACCCTAAAGTCTCTTTCAGCTCTAAATCTATGATCCTACAAGAGTTCGAGTAGGTTTAGAGAGGGCAATGAGGCTGGAAAGGTAAGTTGGTCAGTACAGGTGCCTAGCCCTAAGGGATTATATAAATGCTAGCTATGCTGGGTGCTTAATAATGATCATTAACTGACTGAAAGTTGGGGTATGAAACGTGCTAGACTTTGACAAGAAGTTTGTAGTTAATTCAGCAAACTTGAGAATGCTTAGTGAGATGGAAATAACCATAGAATTATTAATACAGAATCTCGGGCTCTACCACAGAGAGAGAAGATAGGAATTTGTGATTCTACTGATTTGGGGGAAATTACTGGATAAGGCACCTTCTCTGTGACTTACAGTCTTAGAGAGTTGCAGAGGACTAGTGACTTGCCCAAGGTCACACAGCAGTTTGAAATTAAGTCTTCTATCTCCAAACCCTTCTCATATCCCCAAGACAGGCTGCTTCTCAGAACACAGGATTGCTCAGCTAATAAGAAAGGTCAAACTATCTGTATTTATATCAAAGATCCAAGAACAACAGGACAAGACAATAGAATGTTTCCATTTAGAAGTCAAGAAATTGCTTGAAACTCTGGCTTCCTGCTACTTAGACACTATATTTACTTTGACACCTCCATCCCCTCCTCTCTATCTGGATTAAACTAAGAAGTGGAAGGGAAAGGGCCACAAGAGAAGAATCATTGCATTGTGGAGTATGAAGGAAGTTAAGTCATCATAGGGGCAGCTACACACATAGCACAGTGGACAAAGTGCTGGGCCTAGACTCAGGAAGATCTGAATTCAAATCTCACTTCAAATGCTTACTAGTTGTGTGACCCTGGGCAAGTCACTTAACCATGTTTGCCTTAGTTGCCTCCTCTGTAAAATGAGCTGGAGAAGGAAATAGCAAATAACTCCAATATCTTTGACAAGAAAATTCCAAATGGTGTGAAGAAGAATTGGACATGATGGAAATGAATAAACACCAAGAGATCCTAGGATCCTAATTCATAGATATAAGGTTGGAAGAAGCCTTAAAGATCATCTAGTCTAACCCAGCCATTTTACAGATGGGAAAACTGAGACCAATGGAGGGAATATGACTTACTCAAGGTCACATAGGCTGTACCTAGCACAGCCAGGATTAGAACTCAGTTCTTGTGGCCCCAAGTTCAGTATTCTCTGCACTGTATCATACTGATCTCCTAGTTCAAGAATTCTTAACCTGGGGTCCACTGATAGAACTCAAAGGATCAATGAACTTGGATGTGGGGGGAAATTATATCTCTACTTTTGAAATCTAATATTTTCTTCAATTATTTAAAATCTAACATTTCCTTCAATTGTTTAAAATTTAAAATAAAATTAAAATCAATTATTTGAAATTATAAAAAAATTATTTAAAATCTCAGAATTTATATTCTGAGAAAGAGTCCCAAGGTTTCTCACCCCTGGTCAAGGAGTTCCATGTCATGCACATACACACAAGATTACAAACCTCTGAACTTGGCAATCTCCCTCATGTTATAGAGGAGGAAATGGAAGCCCTGAAAGAAGAGATTTTGTCCCCTGTCATCTACATAGAATGTGGCAAAGCTGGTGTTTAAATTGATATCTTCAGACCCCGTATGTCATGTGCACTCCACTATCAAATAATCAGTTTGGCCAGAGATGGTGGAGAATAAGATAAAACAGGAGCAATTCAAATGAGAAGAAATGCTGGTTTTATTCCATAAATCAAAAATAAAATAAATATATTTTTTTTTAAAAAATGAGAAGCAGGCATGATGCGCTCCTTTCAGGCTGAATGCCCATTTCCTCAGGTGCAGGAGCTATGGCTCAATACCCATTTTAAACAGCTGGTATCTCCAGTAAGCTTCCTTTTTAAGTCTTAAGGCAGAGCAGCCTCGTGAAGCGTGGTGAGCAGGGTGCTTGGCTTTTCAAGGAGGCTTCCCAGCTGCTACTCAGTCCCTTCTGGTGGAATTAACTATAGGATACCATGCAGTATCTAGTTCCAGGGCCCCCATAATGAGTAACCAAAGCTGCCACACAGGAATAGGAATTCTCTCCCTTCCTCCGAAGTTTGGATTTGCAGACACTTGGCAAGTGTTTTCTGGGGTCATGTTTTCCACAGGTTCAAAATGTCCAATTTTAAGGGCCTCCTTCTAGGGTTTCATGGCCTGTGCCTTTCACGTATGAGAAGAGGGTGAGGCTTCGCTCATGTGTCTATACCAGCCTTTGGAAAACCCTTACTGGGGCTGCAGAGACACCTCCAAAGAGCCTCATTAGCACAGTTCACCTCTGATGTGCCAAAGCCAGCTCTCTTAGGCCTATCCCCACATAAATAACCAGAATCTGCAAACCATGCCAAATAGAGTGTTAGTTTTGAAATGTGGACTCATTTCCCGCCAGGAGTTGTCATAATGTTCCCTCCTCCTGAAATGCCCTTTCTTTCCAACTCTGCCAGTCCAATTCTGACCTATCCTTCCAGACCCCCTGCGGATTTCACCTCCTCACATTTCTCATTTCTATAACTTTTTAAAGGCTTAATAACACTAATAGCTAGCATTTACATATCCCTTAGAGGTTTGCAAAGTACTTTCCTTGTAATACCTGAGGTAATCCTAACCACAACCCCGGAAGATAGGTGCTATTGTTATCCCCATATACCGATGAAGAAACTGAGCCTCAGAAAGAGATATGAATTTACCCAAGGTCCCGTAGTGGCAATGGTGGAATTAAAACTTGGCACAGGGCTTTGCACATAGTAGGTACAAAATAAAAATTTAAATCAATTTGAATTCTAACTTCAAGTCTGGTGTTCTTTTCTTTTAGTTATGCAAATCTTGTCTTCTCAGTAAGATTATAAGCTCTTTGAAGGCAAGGACTGTGGCTTAGGAATCTCTGAATCTTCCATACCACCTGTCATGGCATTGCTGCTGTCAACAACGACAACCATCATGGCATACTGCATGTACATAGAACCCGATCAGTATCTATTATCTAATTGATTACTCGGCCTACACAAGAGTTCAGTCAACTATTATGCCATAAAAAAATAACAAGTATAAAAACACAAAAGAAGTTGGAAAGACAAATGAAGTGATATAAAACAAGGAAGAATGGAAATAAACATTTATTAAGCACCTACTATTGCTAAGCACTTTGCAAATATTATTTCATTTGATCCTCACAACAACCTTGGAAGGTAGGTATAATTATCACCCCCATTTTACAATTGGGGAAACTGAGGCATGCAAAGGTTAAGTCACTTGCCCATGGTCACACAGCTAGTAAGCATCTAAGGTGAGATTTGAACTCAGGTCTTCCTGAGTCCAGGCTCGGTACTCTATCCACTGTGCCACCTGGTTGATTCTAAGATAGGCCAGCATAGATAACAGATATGAAAACTACAGCCCTTCCCAGTCCCCCAGGTTTGTAACCTAAGAGTCATCTTCCACAGCATCCCCAAGTTGTCAATCAATTGTGAAGTCTTGTCAGTTCTACCATTGCAAACTCTTTTGCCTGTCTTTATTTCCAATCACTCAGTCACCTCTCTAGTCCAGGATCTAACAACCTTTCAACTGGATGACTTTAATAGCCTCCAAACTGATGTCCCTAATTCCTATCTTTCACCTCTGTAAACCATGCGACACACACAGCTGCCAAATCGATAGTCCCAAAACACAAGCCAGTCACACCCCTAATCAAAAATCTTCAGTGACTCCCCATTCCCTTAAAAACTCCTAAGCCTAGCATTTAAGGCTCTTCACAATCCAACTACCATCTATCTTTCTAGCTTTATTTCATATGACTCCTATGAGCACATAACCTCCTATGGAAGCCTGTGTCCAGGATGAGGTTGCTTCCTGTTTGTGTCTTCTTTCCTTTGGAACAGGGTCTTGTGAGATTTCATAAGGTTGGAGGAACAAAGGTTCCACAATGGGAGTCCATGCTAAGGTTTGTTAGCAGCTGAACCTAGTTACCTAGATCAGCATTGGATCAACACCATAGCCAAGGCACTGTGTCCTTCAACAAAAGAGCAACTCATCTATTGGTTATGCTACAATCAGAAGTGAACATGGTGGGGGCAGATGACTGGTAGTAATCCCTTTGAGTTTGAGCCTGGTGTCCCCAGAGACCAACATGATAGAAGGGATAGTGTGTTCTGCCTACCGTGAGTTCAGGGAGTTGGTTTTTTTTTAACTTCTTTCTATATATTTTCTGTCAATTTCTCTTTGTAAAAACTAATTAATGTTTATTGGTTACATGATATTGGGGCAGTAGTTACTGGTGATTAATAGCAGGCACTCAAATAGACAATCTTGTTGTTCAGACATTTCATTCATGCTCAATTCTTTGTGACCCCATTTTGGGTTTTCTTGGCAAAGATCCTGGAGTGGTTGGCCATTTCCTTCTATAGTAGATAGAACTAGAATCACCCTAACTTCTCAGACTTGCTCCTGGAACCTGAAAGGAAAGATGTTGACTTGCTCTGAAGACCCACCCTAGTACTGCATGGGTGGGTTGGGAGAATAAGTCCAATCTAAGAATAACCATGTATTGTCTACTGTGTGCCAAGCACTGTGCTAAGTTCTGGGAATACAAAGAAGAAAAGGCAAAAGACAATCTCTGCCTCAAAGGAGGTTACCATCTGACAGTGGTCCAGAGTCTCAATGTCTTCCTACAGTTTTGTTTCTCTAGCCTTCTCCACTATATCCTACCCAACCCCCACCATGGATACCTTCCCCCTCCCCCACTCCCTTTTTATTTTTTTTAATATGGAATATTTCATGAATTTGCATATCATCCTTCTGCAAGAAGCCATGCTAATCTTCTCTGTATCATTCCAATTTCAGTGTATGTGCTGCCAAAGCAGGCACATTCCTCCCCCACTTTTTATGTGTTAACTTATCCCATTAGAATGTTCCTTTGGAGAAGGAACTATTTTTCATTTTGTTTGTATTTGTATTCCCAAAATTTAGCACTGTGCTTGGCACATAGTCAGTGCTTAATAACTGTTTTTTGACTGACTAACCAACTGGCCACATATGTATTCCATGGTGTCCACAGTGCAGCCCCTCCTGAGCTCTGTCTCTAGAAATCCTCACCTTCTTTTAGGGCTCAGCTCAGGTAACAGCTACTTCTTGAAGCCTTCCTACATTTGCCCCGACTGTGAGTGCCCTGTCCCATCGAATTTTCATCATGCTATATATTTATTTGTGCATATATATCCTTCCAATAGAATGTAAACTCCTTGAGAGCAGGGAATGTTTTGTTTCCCCAGGACCTAGCACAGTACATTACATACAGATTGTACTTGATAAATGTTTATTAAAATGCTAAATTGAGTTTTAAAAAACAAACACCAGCAATAATAACTTTTTTAGTGTATTGCCAAAAGAGAGAAAGAAAAAACAGAGGGCATACAGAAATAGTGAATTTCTATAGCAAGCAATGTGATATAGTGGGGAAAAAAACACTATGTGGAGAAAGGAGAGACCTATGTTCGAATGCCAGGTCTCACATTTAACTAGCTGTGTAGCTCTAGATAAACCTCAGTTTCCCCATCTGTGGAATGGAGACAATAATATTTTCATTACATAACACACAGAACTGGTATGAGGAAAGTGCATTGTCAACCTTAAGATACTCTATAACTATGAGCTTTGGTTAGTATTTTCCACATTCATATTCTCTCAATAACACTGAGCATCTGTCTTTTTATCACTGTGGTCACTCCCTTTATTAATAAATGCCAAGATCCCTCTGTGTCTTAAACAATCTTCATAAGTTTCTATGGCCAAAAAAATTATCTATCTATCTATCTATCTATCTATCTATCTATCTATCTATCTATCTATCTATCTATCTGTCTGTCTATCTACCTAATTTAATACATGTTTATTGGATTGTTAAATTGAATTTTTAGCAACATTTTGGTGCATAAGTTAAAGAAAGGATCAGAAGGAGATACATATGATAGGTAATGTGGTATAGTAAGGAAAAGCAGTACACCTGGAGCCAGAGTCAGATATAGGCTCAAATTCTGCCTTTGACACTTACTAGCTCAATGATATTGGGAAAAGCTCAATTAGAATGTATGACAGAATGTAAACTCCCTGAAGGTAAGAACTATTTCATTTTTGCCTTTATATTTCCAGAGCTAAGCATGATGTCTGGCATATAGTGGGTGTTTAATAAATGTTTGTTGATGATTGAATGATCACCTGATGGCCAACCTTCTGGTGCAGAGAAAAATTGTTATGCTATGTCTATACCTATGGATGGATGATAAAGAGAAAAATATATGAAAGGGAGAGAGACAGAGAGACAGAAAGAGGGAGAGAGAGAGAGAGAGAGAGAGAGAGAGAGAGAGAGAGAGAGAGAGATCATCCAGAGAATGTATGATTAGAAATAAAGGTATGTAAACATGAGCATGTAAAGTCATGTAAACATGAGCAAAGAATAACAGATAGGTAGACCAGGGCTATACTTGTTATCCATAGAATGTCTATAGAATCATACAACATCATAGAATCTGTAGAACACCTCAAGGAAGGAACATTGGGTTGAACACCCATGGAGAATCAACAGGAGACATGGGCAAGAATCCCATAGCATGAATTGCAAACTACAGTGTTGAAGAGAAAACCCACATTGCTGAGCTCAAAGAATCACTGAAGTATTTAAGAAGTTTATTAGAATGTACTCCAATACTCTAAAACAACATAACATAATTATTTTCATCGAAATACAAATAGCACAAATTTCATGCTTTTACTAAGGATTGTGATGTTATTAAGGGTTGTCTTTTTATGTGTTTATTGACTTGTTGAGAGCCAACATTTGTTGGGAGTTTTAATGAGTTTGTAATTATTAAAAATATTTAAAACAAAATACAACTGATTCAATAGTGCCTGGACATCCATATGCACTCGCAGAGTGACAAGTTGTCAAACCCCAAAATTCCCATCAGGATCAGAGCCAAGGTGAGAGCTGGCACTCAAGGGCACTGCCTGCCTCTGAAACAAAGGAGATCAAACTGAAGAGTAATTTATCATGCTCCTCAATACTCGCCCCCTCTTGGATAAACTAAAATAGACTAAATTGAATTGAAGAAAAAAAAAAGGACTTCACTCCCTCCTGCACTGAAGCAGCCTAAAAGCATAGTGGATAGAGCATTACATCCAAGTTTAAATCCTGCCTTACACATTGACTAGCTGGGTGAATATAAGTCACTTAACCTCTTTCCACTCCTCTAGAAAGGATTTAAAATGGCAGGAATGTCTCAATTTACTCATCTGTAAGTGGAAATAATAATAGCATCCACCTCACAGGGTTGCTGTAAACATCAAATGAAATAATGTGTGTAAAATAATTTGCAAACCTCAAAGTCCTACATAATAATAATTATTATTAGAGCAACTTGGTTTATTCTCTTTTATTATAAGAAAGTCACTCTCTTTTCCTCCCCATATCTTCATCACTTCTGAAACAAAGTGAAATCTCCATTTGATACTTTAAATACTATTGTTGTTGTTGTTGTTGTTTCACTTGAATTACCACAACTATTTCATGTGGAAATTCTTGTTTGTTTGAAAATTTAGTCACATTGATAAATAGAGAATAATCACTTGCTGCAATCCAAGGGCTAAGATTTTACAAAGTCCAAAAACTGCTTTCTGCAAGTCTGAAGATATGGTCTTCCGCCTCCCAGACAGGGCTGCAGAAGGTACCTCCTCTAGTGAGATCAGGGGCTATTTTCACAATAGGCAGTTTCCTGATTGCATCTACAAGAGAATCATGGAATTGCCAAGAAACATTTAATAACACTTTCTCTTGTCTTTTGGCAGAATCAATGACTGAATCCTGGTTAGGTTAGATCTGTCCCTGAATAAATAAGCCTTATCCTTGTCTTTTTACCCAGCCACTCTTCCTACATTTGCTATTTTAATCTGCATTGGCTAGTACATGATTCATTAAGCATGAATACGTATGGAATAGAATGCCATTGAATTGGTGAACATGTGAAGAAAAAAAGAAACGCAGGCATTTCCCAGACCTATGGGTTCATCCTCCTTTTGCAGACAGGAAATGAAAGAGAAGGCAGAAGGGCAGGGAGACTGCTGAACCATCTAGCTTTTTAAGTCAACACTCCTTGACTTTCATTCAAACTTCCCTCACTCTTCTGGAACCATCTAACAAGCCCTTGAATTGAGGTGGTACAGGAGGAGGAGAGGAGCACCTATTTCCGCAATTCCAGGTCCTTTTTTTTTCCCTCCTTGGCACCTGGGAACGTAAAGAATGCTAAATTCTTTCATTATGATTTTGAAGAGGAGCCCACCTGCCCCTATCAAAATATTTTGGACTGCTTCTTTTTCACATTTTAAATTAGAGGGGCTTAGCACATGTATTTTTTTTCTTTCTTTTGCTCTGTTTCTTTTCTCCTTCTTTCTCCTATTTTTTTTCTTTCCTTTCTTTCCTTCTTCCTTTCTTTCACCTCTTTTCTCTCTGTTTCTCTTTCACCTTTTCTGTATCCTTTTCTCTCTTTTCTCTTTTTCTTTCTTTCTCTCTTTCTCTTTCTTTCTTTCCTCTCTTCCTCCCTCCTTTTTTTCTTTTTTCCTTCCTTCTTCCTTGCTCTCTCCCTAACCTCCCTCCCTTTCTTTCTTCCTTTCTTTTTTCTTTCTTCCTTTCCTTTTTCTTTCTTTCTTTCTTTTTTGTCTCTATACCTCACCCAAGAAGCTGGAAGTGTAGCAAACTACTTCCAGGCCCAATCCTACTGCTGACCAGCAGGGTAGCTTTGCCCTGTTCCATTTATAACCTGGACAAGTTCACCCCACTTTAGGCAGCCTAGTGCTGCCTCATAACCAGGAGTTCTGTTACCAGAATTAATGCAAATACGTGACTGACTTTAGCCTGAATGAAACTCAGAACTTTAAAGTTCAAGTGATCCACCAGCCTCAGTCTCCCAGTAGCAGGGATTACATGCATGTGCCACCACACTCAGGGACTGCTCCTTTTCATGTTCTAAATTAGAGGGACTTAGCCTGTGTTTGCTGATGAATGTTAGAAGATCTGGACAGGCAATTAATTCTGATTTGACCCTATTGTGGCTTTTGTGAAATTGTCACTAGCCACTTGTCAAAAAATAAAAGAGAGACAGAGACAGAGAGAGAGACAGAGAGAGACAGAGAGAAAGGGAGAGACAGAGAGAGACAGAGACAGAGACAGAGAGAGAAGAAAAGAAAAGAAAAGAAAAGAAAAGAAAAGAAAAGAAAAGAAAAGAAAAGAAAAGAAAAGAAAAGAAAAGAAAAGAAAAGAGAAGAAAAGAAAAGAAAAGAAAAATATTTTGGGCCTAGCCAAACCCATTGATGATTTTAGCCAAGGATTTTTTTGTTTTAAATATGAAACTCTTTTGCATTTCAAGGGAAATTTAATCTCAATGTCCAATTTATTTACACTTAAACCATCAACATGTTCCACTGTCAGACCATAGTGGGAACCTGAGAGAAAGCTTTACAAAACCTTGCCCTTGACCCAGGAAGTCACTTAATGACAATGCTGAAGAAAGGGAAAATCTTGGCTCAGATTCCAAAGATTCAAATTTGGTTCCAACCCCGAAAGCCTGAGAAGTTGTATGGATTCAAAGCTTGACTGAGGAAAGTCAATTTTTCTTCTAAGGGAGGAAACCATTAGTTTCTTCTCAATATCAATGGAGGAGAGTAGTCACTGTGGATTCAAGCAGAGGGCAGCATTGATAGTAATAACTCTGCCTAAAGTCACCTCCTAAGTTTCGGTGAAATAGGAACCCAGTCTTTCAAATGGGATATGTTTACAGTTTGAAGGGTCACATAAGTATGTTTAATTCAGTGATTACTGA